TATTATTATTTTGTTTTGTAAAGAATATGAAAATTTAATAATTTTAATTCTTATTGATTTCTTAACCGAGCAACATTCAGTTAAATAACGAGATGCTTTGTGTAATTAATAGCAATTGGAAAAATACAAATATAGCATTATCTTATTGTTATTAGCTTCCTGGCTTCTTTGGTCGCGGTGTTCGGTGAATACGATATTTCGGGCGAATTGGAACCAAAGCGCAGCGTTACGAAAAATGTACGCCGTGTCATCGTGAACCGCGGTTACGATCCAGCGACATTCGAGAATGATGTGGCGCTTTTGGAGCTCGAGTCACCAGTGCAGTTTGATGAGCACATAGTACCGATTTGTATGCCAGAAGACGGCATCGACTTCACTGGCCGAATGGCGACGGTCACAGGCTGGGGCCGACTTAAATACAGTGAGTATCGATTTTCGTTCACCCAATTTGTAAATTGCGAACGCCTTTGTGTACACGACTCATGCGGTAAATTTCCCGCAAGACTAGAAAGTACAAAATGGAACAGGTTACCGTGACGAGAGCAGAGTAACAACTTTCACGATGACTCTCGTATAACCTCCTACGCGCCCGAATTCTGTCCGCGGTTTTATCGTAACTTTCTTTTCGCGTGTCATCTCGCCGTCAAGGTTTTACTAACGGTAACGCTACATTCGATAGATGGTGGTGTGCCGTCGGTGCTGCAGGAGGTCCAAGTGCCCATAATGGAGAACTCAGTTTGTCAGGAGATGTTCCAAACTGCCGATCACATAAAATTGATTTTGGATAGCTTTCTCTGCGCTGGATACGCTAATGGCCAGAAAGATTCTTGTGAGGTAATCGGATGAATTGCTCCCTATTGTATTCCATTAACTTTATTAACTGTTCCAGCTATTAGCGGTGCCTCTTTGATCTTATGGCAAATAATGTGATTACTTTGTTGGCTGCACGTGTGAAGCTTCAGTATAACTATACATAATCTACATAAACTTCAGTATTACTATACATAACTACTTGATCTTCTATTGTACAGGTCTTATTTTTCATTCTAGAGAGAAATATCATTTCAATGCATTTGTTATCAGCCACCATCTGCATTACTTTTTAATCCTAATCGCTAACGCGCAATTAACCTTGATCACACGTAGAAAATTCATATCAATATTCTCAATAATATTGACTTTTTATTTTAAATTTTAATTGTTTTTATCATGGAATTTTATTCTATTATGGAATAATTTTTTATTTTATTTTAACAATATTCTTCAATATTTTGGCGATTAATCCTTTTAACTTGTTTGTTAATGCTGCGATAAATAACTATCTTGCAAGATTAATAAGTCTTGCATAAATAATTATAGGTAACGGTAATGATTTTCTTCAGGGTGACAGTGGTGGTCCGCTAGTGATGGAACGGCCAGACGGCAGATGGTTCCTAGTCGGGACCGTGTCTCACGGTATTAAATGTGCGGCTCCGTATCTACCGGGTGTATACATGAGGACGACTTATTATAAGCCTTGGCTGCACAGTATCACCGGAGTCTGAGAAGCTGGGTCACAATCGTCATATCACGTTCTCGCGTAATTGCGCGAGCGGCACCGAATGCCATTCTGTATAAATGTACAAAGGAAGCCTAATTTATTTCCCTTCGAGATAGAGCGTATTTAACTCAATTAAGTAACCGCAGATGTAACCAAACTTGAATGTCAGAATGTATTGATTTCTGAATAATAATGAGACGCTTTATTCTCTTATGCATCCGTTATTTCATGTTTTCCATTAATGCAACGGGAATGACACTTGCATAAGTTTGTGCTGAATAAATTTTATTGTAGAAGCAGAGAAATACAGGAAGAGAAAGAGATAGAGAGAAAGAGAGAGAGAGAGAGAGAGAGAGAGAGAGAGAGAGAGAGAGAGAGAGAGAGAGAGAGAAAGAGAAAAGGGAAAAAAAGAAGAGACAATGAAAAGGAGAAGAATGAAGAAACAAGTCAACCTGAGTCTCAAGTTATTTAAATTTCTACGGAAATAGAATTCTACGGAATTGTCTGCGGCAAATTACTACTTCTCGGCGCACAACCAGTGCCCGATGTTACATTTATGCGTATCAATGTTTAAACTCGTCTTTATGCGCATGTGTATACGTATTTACAGAGTCAATATTGAAGTAAGTTCAGAGATAGTATCGAAAATTTTTTAAATCGTTATCACTCTTGAAATGACCGATTCCTATCGCTTCCTTTACATCCTTCCACGATCGAAGAAACAGATACAAATAATTCACGATTTACGTCAATGCTCTATATAGCGGCTTCCTAATTTGAAACTGACTTTTCTTTAACAAAAATATCTTATTAATAAAAACAATTTTTAACTTAGAAGTTATTCATCATTTAATTTATAATTGTTAAAATTTATATCTTTGTAAAAATTGTTAACTCCTAAACAGCTCAATTAAGAGAAAATTTATTGCAAATTAATGATATTTCAAATCACATCAGTAACAATTTCATCATCAAAGATACATGAGTGAATTTTGGACTACTGTATGTATACAACACAAGTGAATTTCAAAAACTGCACAATATTCTTTCCTATATTTTATATCTCTACCTGCTCCGTGAATATTCGCGGAGCAGCTCTGTAATACATACATAAGTGCATAAAGACGTGCTGCAAGCTCTATTTTATTTCATTGTTAGATGTTATTTATTAAATACATTTTTATACGATAACATAATATGTGCGGTTATTTATTCACCATCAACGCACCACTCCACGCACGGAAATATCATAAAAGACATCAACGACTACTTGACGTCACATCGCCGTGCATATTACGCGCTACAATCCTCGAGGTGATATTCCTATTAAAAATAGAGACAAATGTTCTCCAAATCGATCGAACTTTTAATATACTTATATCATTACGTATAAACAACGTCATTGCGGTGATAACGTCGCTGCTTCCGATGCTTCCGGTCTTTCTGGCGCTCGTTCATTTGGCACGTGTTTGAACTAAAAGGTCGTGACATCGATAAAAATCTAAAAACCGTATATACCACAAGATATTTGCCTACGGCATTAATTCTGTGATATTTGCATTTTATGGTAAAAATCAAAAATTCCTTCAAAATTTAAATTCAAATTCAATCAATCCATTCAAATATTGTTATACGCCGCCAGCGATTCTCTACAATTTTCTAGAAGACGAAACAGAAAAATTTAGTCACTTTAGAAAAATTTGGTCTTTTTATTATATAAATGAAATTTCATAAATATAAGTTTTTTTATTATAATTAATTTCTAAAATATATCTTTCTAAAATATCTTTAAGATAATCTTAGAGCAATCCCCTTGTCTTGTTATCTCGTTGTGATTATTAATTCTGTGCATCTGTGATAAATGGGAAAATAATAGCAAAGTGTGCAACTTTATAGGGGAATGAAATGTCGTGTTACCGATTAGGATCTTTGTGAATACGCTCTTTATTATGTTAGCCACGCGTAAAATATATATACAGTTATTCTATTCAGAATAGAACTTCTTGAAAGTACTGTTATCATTATTAATACTGTATTACAATTGATATTAGTTGTCTTCATAAATCTCGCGATAAGGAATTACGGAATTACACGTATCAATTGTAGAATTGATTAGATGTGTTTCTTGTATTTAAAATATTACGCAGAATACAAATGTCAACTGTAATTTCGTGATATTTAAATAGAGAAGACTGATAAAATATCAAGTAAGAAATAATATATATGAGTATTACAAAATAAAAATTGTTTAGGAAGAAATTAACATTAAATCAGGCTGAAAAATATTATTTAATACTCTCTCTTCAACATAATTATATAGAAAAATTACTATTTCAATATATATGTAATCATCATTTATATAATAAAAGCAAAATTCCTCCGGACAAATAATATAAAATTATTTAAAGCGTTGAATTTGATTTTAAGTTAATTGGATTTCAAGCGAAAATACATATAAACAGTCTACGTATTGTATTTTCGTTTATGTAGGAAAGGGCGCGGTAATTCAAAGGACCATGAAATAGCGTGTCAGTTGACCTTAGCGGAGAATAAATTTCAGTAAGTAATCGAGATCATTAAACAAGTATTCATCATACAAAACCATCCTACGCTTATTCATGCGCGTGCTATTACGACACGAGACAATATACATTTATATTCCATCATAGTGGACACGAAGTTTCTTGGAAGTCTGGGACCTGTTATTCACGACACGCAAGACCAAAGTAACGTTCAAAGTTATGCCACGAAACGTCAAAGCGGAAAGAAGTGATGCGATTTAATGATACGTACATATACACGACGCGACCCGGTGCACTCGCGAGAACGCATGTATGCATTCACCTACGTACTCTGGCATTTCGTCACACAGGTGGTTGCATCGTAGACGGTAAGCGTATTTGCGATCTGTCACTGCAAGATTTACGCACGTCTACCGGTTTTGTTCTCCTTCTTCGCGAAAATGTTCACTGAGTGCCCTTTTTAGGAAAAAGGAAATAACATCGTAATTAGAATTTAAGATCAACCGTTAGTTGCAAAAAAGATTAAAGTTGAAAGAGTGAAGGTTATACAATTTAAAACTATTCATTATAATTTATAATTCTTTTAAACAACAATAGTTAAAAAAATCTTTTTATGAGAAAACTGGCATAATAAAATAATAATAGTTTAAGTTAACTATTTGAATAAACTTTCCTTAAATTCCTCAAAATAAAAAAAAATTATTCATCAGTATTTTCATTAAGGATTCTATTAAGAATAAAAATTACTTTGCATTTTAGAATTTCAACTTTTAGCTTCAATAACTTTCTAAATACTGGCTTTTTGAGAAAAAAATCATTCAAAGATATTTCATTTAAAAAATCAGACTTATTGAGGAGTTCAGATTTAAAAACATTAAATAATGATGAGACTATCACGATTTTTGCTTCGCTATCATCTGGTATATGTGAAAGAACATGCGGGGGTTTATAAACGGATATATGGAGCAGGAGCGACCACCCGGCGAGTACATCAGGATACCTTGGATCAATACGGCCAAGAGAGAACGAAACTAGTATATAAGGAGTGTGACAAGGAGTGAGCTAAAGTGAGCAAGGCAAGCACGATGAACGGCGAGAACGTGTCCTGGCGCGCAAAGGTGGAACTCGTTTGTCGTGATTGTCGGGAATACATCTTGAGAATCTCAAATTGAGATAAATATAACAACGGGCATTAAAAATCAGAAAAATTCTGCAAAATACAAAGGACCCCTTCCACAAAGTCGAGTTCGCACGAGTGATGAGCGAAATTACTTATTATTTCTGACCTTTCGCAGAATGTGTGCTGCTTATTCTTCCGGATATTACAGAACATCGCAATTTCTGAAGTTGTTTTCAGACGCAAATGGTATCCCAAAAGATTGTGATATTATAATTTGCGAAAAAAGTTAATCTATGCGTACGAATCTGATTGTAAAAAGATTGCAAGCAATTTAAAGATTCAAAGCAATGTAAAACTGTGGATTTTTTCTTTTTCGCACAAGTAGCAAAAAGGGTGCTGTATATTATCTGGATTTTTTATCAAAATACCGATAAAAACTTTTTTTAATTAAAAATCAATGATTCATTGTATCATTATTATACTTGATCACATTATTGACGCTGTTAACGCTGCATCATCTGCCAATATGAATAGTCTCTTCTTTTTTGTTCTGATTGGTCTATAACTCTTTTCAAGTCAAATCAGCTAGAAATAGTAGATTGTTGATTCAACAATTTTCTTCGGATGTTTGACAGAGAAATTTGCATATTCCGAGCTTAGGGAATGAATAGTCTCGGATGTGAATGGTTTATTTGTTCAAGTGGCTCCTTCCGGCAGCTATCTTACTCGGAGCAGCAAAAGATTTGAATGAACAAAATGTCACGTAGGTCGCAATAGGGTGGTACGAAAAAAAAGAGAAGATGGGCCGGCAGCGGGTGGCGCATGCGTCACTATGTATATGCGCCCGTGTGACGGTAACCGGAACGACGTAGAAGTATAGATTGCCGAAGCCAGCACAGCACGGACTCAGTCCTCCAGCAAACTCCACCGAGGACTTGTTGAGCTTGTGTGCACCTAGCGAGGGGTAGCTAATCCTGCCCGGCCGAGGTGTAAAGGCGTTCCAGGCAAGCTGAGCCAGGGCGCAAGAACTTTTCGTAAGTGACTCATGGCTTGTTAATAGAAGGGATACTTCTGATATTCAGTGTGTCATAATATTATAGACATTGCATGGATGTTTTAGAACTAGAGCGTCCTATATGTTGTATTTTTCGGAGCTTGTCCTTGACGTTCAGACACATTCTCAATATTTTTTTCTAAATAGAGTAGTTATCGTTAAAGTATGTTAAAACACAATTAAAATAGAATAAATTGATTTATATTTATAGATTTGAAGTTAAAATTCATAAAAACAGTGTTTAAATATTTTTTTTATCTAAGATTGGTTTTTTAATGTGTTAAAGAATAATTTGAGCTGATAATTGAGCTAGAGAAATCGGATAAATTTAGACTAATTGAAATTTTGTGTTAAACATATTACTATTTAGCTACATCACTAAATATCGCAAATAAATTTCATCTCAGTTGAAAAAATATAAGAGGGAGATTGATGAAACACGAATTATCGATTGTATATTTGGGGTTATTGCTACTATTGACCTGATGCAATTCATTTCATATGTTGATCATAAATTATTCCTTGTGAAGAATATGAACATGTAACGAGAATAGAAAATGTAATTTATTACATTTTTCCCTCTTTTACAAATAATTAAATTCTGATGCATTTAATCTTCTCGCATTATATTATATAAAACAATTTTCTTTGAAAAAAAAGATGCC